ACATTTTAAATGAGTGAGTTTTATAGTATGTGAGTTCTAGCTCAACAAAGTAAAATTATCGTGCAATTCTCCCTTCTTTAGTATTCTTGTCAGATATTGGTATCAGTATTAATTCTAGTCTCAAAATAATCTCACACTTGAGGGTGGAAGCAAAAATCCTAAGTGATAATTAGCAATATTATAAAACAATCCAGTATATATAAAAAGAGGATACCTTAATGTCAAAGTTGGGTATATACTAGGAATGCAAGGTTGTTTTTAATATTAGATGGTTAATAGAATATACTACATTAAAATTAAATTAAAAATCATACGATTACTCAATAGACTCAGAAAATCTTTTTTTTTACTAATTTAAATTCACTCTTGACAAACTGGGAGTAGAAAACTTCTTTAACTGGTAATACTGTCTACAAAACATCTATAGTGAACATGATACTGAATGGTGACATGTTAGAAAAGTTTTTTCCTTTAAGTTTAGGCTCATGTCTAGAATGACAACAGGACCATTTCTATTCAACATTGTGCTAAAGGCTTAAGGCAGAAAGTAAGGTAAGGAAATGAAGTTAAATCTGGAAATGAAGAAGTAAACTACCATTATTGCGTATATGACTGTATATAGAAAGAATTCAAATGAACTTAAAGAAAGCATGTTAAAATTATAGGAAAATTTAGCAAAATCTATATAACAGCTATGAAAAATGAATATATAAAATTAGTTATTTTTCATATAAGAGCAACAGAAAGCTGATACAAAAATATACTATTTACAACTCTAAGATACAAATATCTACAAATAAATAATATAAGTAGAAACATCGGTAGAGAATTACAAAACTCTCATGGGTTTTCACCCTGTACAAATATCAATTGATAATGGATCAAAGACCTTATATAAGACCTGAAACTTTGCAACTAGTGCAGGAAAGAGTAGGAAATATACTGGAACATATTGGCATAGGTATTAACTTTCTAACTAGAACTCTGCTGGCTCAGCAACTAAGAAAAAGGATTTACAAATGGGACAACATGAAACTAAAAAGCTTCTGCACTGCAAAGGAAATGGCCACAGAATGGGAGAAAATCTTTGCTATACATCTGACAAGGGATTAATAACCAGAATATACATGGAGCTCAAAAAACTAAATTCCCAAAGAATCAATGACAAGATGAAGAAATGAGCAAATGAACTGAGCAGACTTTTTCAAAGGAAGAAGTCCAAATGGTCAAAACACACATGAAGAAATGCTCAACATTCCTGACCATAAAGGAAATGCAAATCAAAACCACATTAAGATTCCACCTCACTCCTGTTAGAGTGGCTAGCATAGTGAACACAACAACAAATGTTGGCGAGGATGCAAGAAAAAGAAACCCTCATACGCAGTTGCTGGGAACATAAATTAGTATAATCACTATAGAAATAAGCATTGAGGCTCCTCAGAAAACGAAAACTAGAACTGTCATATGACGCAGCAATGTCACACATAGATATATCTCTGAGGTAATGCAAATCAGGATACAATAGAGGCACCTGCACACCCATATTTACTGCAGTGCTATTCACAATAGCCAAGCTATGGAAACAGCCCAGCTGCTCTGCAACTGATGAGTGGCTTAAGAAAATGTGATTTATGTATACATATATATATGGAATATATATAACAAAAATTCAATGGAATTTTATTCAGCCATGAAGAAGAATGAAATTTTGTCATCTGTAGGTAAATGGATGGAACTGAAGAACATCATATTAACTGACATAAGCCAGGTTCAGAAATTCAGAAAGACAAAGGTCTTTTCTCTCATCTAGATAGATCTGAACACAAATACAAGCAAGATATAGCTATCTATCTATATAGATATTCTTTATCATATAATATATATATTCATTATTGTATATAAATGTGTTTCTAAAGTGGCATTGTTAGAGGAGATGAAGAGAGCCAGAAAAGAAGAAAAGAATGATAGAGTGAATAACATTGAAATACATCATATCTGTGTAGGAACAAGACACAATGAAACATACTGAAAACTGCTGAACGATACAGTGTAGGGGGAAAAGGGGAAGAAAGAGCAGTCCTCAGGAGTTAGACTGATTTAAGCACAACATATTTATAGGTAAAATACCATTGCAATATCCCCACTGAACAATGAACAGACACTTTTAAACAGTGAAGGACAGGAATATAAAACAGGTCATATTAAGGGGAGAGTAATTGCGGAGGGGGAGGGTAAGTGAAGAGGGTAAGGGAGGGTGAATTCGGTTGATGTACTTTCTTTTTTTTAACTTTTATTTTGATTAGCATATTATTGTACTAGGGGTGCATTGTGACATTTACAAAAGTGCTTACAATATATCTTAGTTCGATTCACCCCCTCCATTATTCTCTTTTATCCTCCTTCCCCCTTCTTAGAACAGCTTCACCAGATATCATTGTTTCATTTTAACACACGAGTGCATGATATTTCCCCATATTCACCTCCTACACCCTTCCTCTATATCCTTTCCTCTCCCACTGGTACCAACCCTCATCCAGGACCTGTTTTACCCTCCTGTCCATCATTTTGAAAAAAAGACATTTTTGTTTCTTTAGCATAGCCATACAGAGTTTTCATTATGACATTTCTGTGTTTATATGTATTATATCCCAAATTGGTTCATTTCCCTTCATTTTTCTCCTTTCTATTTTAGTCTGCTTCTTATGGTGATTTCAACAGGTTTAAATATTCTACATTCATTATTGTATAGAAAGTGGTTGACATACTTTCTATGCATGTTTGAATATGGAACACTGAAACTTGTGAAAGTCATTTTAAGAAGAAGGGTGGTTGGGAAGAGGGATAATAATGGAGGGGATGAACCAAACCTGGGTACAATATATGTATATGAGAAAATGTCACGATGAACCCCCCTGTATAAAATCATATGCAATAAAAACCTTAAAGAAAGAATCCCCCCAAAACAACTTTCATGGGAAATTAAAAAAAATCAAAATAAATGTTCATGGGTTAGAAGATTCAATATTTTTAAAATGTCAGTTATTCTTTAATTTATTAAAAATTCAGTGCAATTTAAATCAGAATTCTAATAGGTTTTTTAAGTTTAATATTTTTATTATTGTGCTTTTGTTTCTGTTTTGTCTTGGTTTTTGGTAGAACTCCATAACTCAATTTTATAGTTTATAGCAAATTGCAAAGGGATATGACTAGCCCTACCAAAAGAATAAACTGGGAGAAGCTGTTCTATCAGTTATCAAATTCAGCTATAAAGCTGTGATAACTGAATCAGTATGGCATTGGTCCAGTGGTGGACTAACACACCATTGGAACAGAATCGACAGCAGAAATAGACCCATGCATGTAAGGACACTTGACAGGTAGCTTGGAGAACAGCAGGGAAAGGACAAACTTTATCAGATGGTATTGGAACTACTAGGTCTACACTGGGGGAAATTTATTTTGATCCTTACCTCACAGCATATATGAAATTTAAAGGTGAATCAATGACTGAGATGTAGGTAGCAAAACTATAAAGCTTTTAGAATATAATCAAGTATAGCATCTCCATGACCTTGGAATGGAGAAGGCCTTTTTTCAACAGGGCACAAAAATTACTAAGGACAAAGCAAATTCTGGGAAGCCTGGCTACCATAAATTTGACATGAAAATTAATGTGGTCACCATAAAGGAGGATGAACAAGCCATGAAGTGGAAGAAGATTCATGCAAGTTACAGAGCCACAGGGGAATTATATCCATGGCATATAAAAGACTTTGTATGTCAATAAGAAAGCCATTAGAAAAATGGGCAAAAACTTTGAGCAGACATGTTATAAAAAAGATATCAGGTCATGCTTGGTGGTTAATACCTGTAATCCTAGGTCTGAGGAGGTAGAGGCAGGAGGATTATAGAGAAGAGGACTACACAGTAAGTTTGACCCTGTCTCAAAAAGAGAATTCGTTCTAGCTATACATACCAACTTGGAGGAATTCAGATTAGGCACTCCCAGTATTTGTGTGATATTTCATAAATTCCAGAAGTTAATTCAAAGAGTATGGCATTGAGTTGGGAAAGCATGATTCCCTGGCCTTCCCTGCTCTGAATGCTCACAGCGAGGGGTTCTGTAAGTGTCAGGAAATGGCAACTTGGGCCCGTCTAAGGATGCTCTAAACAGGAGAACCATTAGCCATGCCAACAGGGAGACCCCTTCAAGTGCCCTGGGGTGGTCTGAGCAGTGGAGGCCACCAAGTAGATGGGAACATCCCTATGATGGCCATATTACGTTTGAGACAGGGCTTCTCTATGCAGCCACAGGCGGGCCTCAAACTCAGAGCCACTATTGTAGGGAACACATCACAGGTAGACAGCCAAGTCAGGCTGTGAAGACTAATGTTCCTTTATCATTTGTGATTTGGACACTGAAAGTAAAAAAATTCCACAGTCATTTGGAATCTGGGACTCTTGAAGCTAGTGACATATTGATTATAGAAACTTTGCAGATTGTGAAAGAAATGTTAGTTTTCACATTAAGTATGTATTTTATGGTAGATATTCTATGAAATTATGCTTATGTGTAATGATCAGATGTAAAAATCCTGGCTGGGTGCTAGTGACTCACACCTATAATCCTAGCTACTCTGGAGGCAGAAATCATTAGGAATTCCGTTCAAAGCCAGCCAGGGCAAATAGTTTGCAAGATCCTATCTTGAAAAAACCCATCACAAAAAAGGACTGGTGGAGTGGCTCAAGGTGTAGGCCCTGAGTTCACACCCCAGTATTGCAAAAAAAGGAAATGTAAATCCTGCCTGGTTAGTAAAACTACTTGTATTTACTACAGAATGTTGCTTGTGAAGTCAAGCCAGGGCAGACAATGGACACAGGAGAAGTGACAAAAATCCTTCATAATGTGCCGGGGGTGGGGGCGGGGATGTGGTGGGTGTATGCGAGCATGTTTTTGATCATAGGACACATCACAGCACAGCGGGTCACATACTTACCTTGTATGCTGCCTCACTGACAGCCTTGATGTTTGCTTCTTTCCATTTTCCTGGCACCCCGCCAACTACCTCACGATAGTTTACATAGTATCCAGAGATTTCTGCCCCTCCAGTCTTATCTGGTTGTTTCCATCCAAGAACCATTGAATCACGGAAGCTTTCAAGACAAGTGATGTCGTAGGGTGGCGATGGTGCCGCTGTCATAACATGAATATTTTGTAGTGAGAGAGAAATGCATTTATGATTTCTAGACACAAAACTTGCTTAACTGACACCATGTGTGAGGCATGCATCTCATGGTGTAAAATAAAAATGTGAGACTGATCAGTAACTTGGCATCCAACTTAAGTGTATGAGAAAAAAAATGGGGGTAAAAGTGTACTGCAATTATGATTCCAAAGATTAAAAAAAAACCTGGCCTCTCCCAAAAAAAAACCCTGCCCAGCAAAATGGTTCAATATCCTAAAAAAAATTATTAATTTCCACATAAGAAGAAATATTTTTCCCAAGGTATGTATTTTTGTTTCCTTTTTTGGGGGGGTGGTGGTACTGGGGGATGAACTCAGGGTCTTACACTTGCTAGACAAGTACTCTACCACTTGAACCACACCCTAATCCTTTTGCCTTTTAGTTTGTTTTTCATTTAGGGTCTTGGGCTTTTGCCTGGGATGGCCTTGGGCCATGACCTTCCTGTCTTTGCCTCTCAAATAGCTGGGATACAAGAATATACTACCAAGCTTGTTTTTGAGATGGAAGTCTCACTGATTTTTGCCCAGGCTGGCCTCAAATGATGATCCTCCTATTTCCATCTGAGTAGCTGGAATTATAGGCGTGCATCACTACACCTGGCCCAATATGTTTCCTTATGTGTTTCCCTCTTATTTAGAATTTCCAAATGGTTAAGACCTCACAATTCAGCATACTTACCCCTTGTGCGACTTTATAATTAGACAGATTGTCTGTACCAGAAAAAAATCTTACTCTGGAGCTCAGCTAAATGTTGCCTTTAAAAGTAATTTTATTAAACAAAGCACAGGGGATGGATATAGGGAAAATGTGTAGGAGGGGGAATATGGTTAAAATATAATGTACTCATGTATGAAAATGGGAAAATGAGACCTGTTGAAACTATTTTAAGAATGGGGGGAGGAGGGATAAAGAATGATAGAGGAGGTGAATCTAACTAAGATATATTGTAAGTACTTTTGTAAATGCTGCAATGTACTCCCAGTATAACAATAATATCATAATAAAAAAAGAAAAAAATGAGGCACAATCTGTCATGTGACTTTATTTTGGTATACAATTTTTGCCATTTTTACCCTGATGTTGGAATATTCATGTAGTACAAAATACTATATAGCTGTCATTGTGTTTATTACTGCCTAACTAGAAAGATATTTTGGAAAATATTTCAAAAGTTCACCTATAGTTATGTGGCCTCTCTCTCTTTCTCTCTCTCAACAGGTGCTCTACTGCTGAGCCATGCCTCCAGCTATGTAACTTCTGATCAACTGTTCACTTGGATACTGAGATTACAGTTTTCAATGAAGAAAAAATGGTGGGGTGATGCCAAGAAATCCATCTACTCATGTAATAACATCAAAAGGAATTTTTCTTATTTTAAAAGATTCTCAGAACAGTGAAGACTTTTAAGATAAAAACCATTTGTTTGTATCTTCCTTGCTTACCACCTCCATTCTTTACATTAAAAAAAGTCTTGGGGCTGGTGGAGTGGCTCATGCAGTAAGAGCATCTACTTAATTAGCATAAGTTCCTGAGTTCAAATCCCAGTGCAACCAAAAAAAAGAAGAAAAGAAAAATCTTTCTCTTTTTACTTCACAGCATTTATGAATATGGGTTCTCAAGTGAATATTCCATTTTACATTTCATCTTAAGTTGAAAGGATAAATAAAAGTTAAAGAATATAGATAGGGACAGGGGATGGACAAAGTTACTTTAAATTTATCAGCGCTTTTATTTGATAAGAAAAAAGATTTGTCTCCTAGAATATTCAGCCACAAGCACGGAGAATTTTAATTGTTTACTGATAAACAATTTTACATACCTCACTTGTGGGAGTGTGGATCATGTCTTATAGAATATAGGTCTATGTGATTATAATACCCTAACCACCTGCTAAACTTTTCATGGCAACTCAGAGATAGTGACTTGAATTAAATGTGAGTAACCATTTGAAAACCTAGGGATGTGCAATGGGAATTAGTAACTATGATCCAATCCTGGTACCATCTCGCTTCTTGGTGAAAACTTTTCCTCTCTGTGTACAGAACACAAGCATTTCAAAGGGCCTCACACAATTGATTATCAAGTCCTTCCTGCCCTCATGTTCAAGTCTCTTAACCAAGTAAGGCCATGGTTATGTCTTTCTGACAAACCAAAGAACGTTCTAGATTCAATTTCCCTAAAGCATTTTATCATTGCCAAGCTCAAGGAATAATGCATAAAAGCCAAACTCATATACAATTATTTTTACAACTCATGAGACAGAAGTATTTCAAATGGCCAGCTGAAAACAAATTTCAGAACCAACATGATAAAAGTGCACACAGATGAGGACTGTGATCCAGACAATGAGAGGTGAGGACACGATGGAGACAGATGGAACAGCTTGACGTTTTGAATTCTCACCTACTAGATCCTTCTTCTTTTTCGGGGGGTCAGACTTACTTTGCCCCTGGGGAGCTGCTTTCTGTGGTGATGGGGTGAGCTCTTCCTGAACTGTTTCACTTACTTTACTCACTTCTGGGTGGTCCAGGCTGGGAGGGCTACTGGGTACTGAAGGTTTATTAGGTTTGCTAGTGAGCAAAGCATCTTTCTGAAAGGTTGCTGGGGGGGCTCCATGCATGCCCCCCCTGGAGTCTGTTAGTCCACCAGGTACATCACTCAGTTGAGGCCACAAATCTGGAGACACTGCTCTGCCTAAATCGCCAGACAACAGGAATACATGAGCCCGGACACCACATTCACTGCTTTTAGGTAACAGAACAAACAGAAAAGCATTAGGACTGCGAACAGAACAAAACCAATCTTGGTTTAACAGAACTTGCTTGGATTTACAAGAATAGAGAGAGCATACATTTCACATAATTTACACCAGGGAATATTTCAACTTCTCCATATTCGGGAAAAAGAAGAAATGGGAACAAAAAAACCACAGACAGAACAGGAACCATTTCTATTTGCAGTACCCTAAGAGTTTTTAGTTTATATAAGAGAAAGAAAATCTCAGACATTTCTTGAGAGGTATAAGCTCTACTGTTTAACAGAATAAGACTATGAAGTGTGCAAGAGACAGAATATTAAAGACTCTGATTCTAAAACAGAATTATATCCATTACTACAGCAGCACTGCTCTGTACCTCCCCACCTCAGAGAAACATGTCCACTCTTATCTATATGATAAAGAATGTTAAAAAGTAATATGGGATGCTAATTGAAGACAATTGACATTAAATAATCTTTTTTTGGTATTGATACTGAGAATTGAAGCTGGGGCCTGGTGCATCCTAAGCCTGTGCTGTGCCACCTAGCTCAATCTTTCTTTTTAATATGTTAGCAGAACATAGATTTTATTTTTGCTGCTCTGAACTACCTGGGTCTCTTCTCTACTTTATTCAAGATGGGGAGGTACATCACATGCATACATATAGTTACTTTATTACTGGTTTTATTCTGCTGGTTACTTTGGCAGCAGAGTTGAAACACATGATTAAGCAACCACATGTACCTTACATGAATTTTAGAGTGGTTTACAAGAAGCATGTTAATGTGCTATTAGTAAAAACAAGCCAAGCTCTGCTGTGCATGAAATGGCTTTAGTACATGATGGTCTGAGTTACGTGTGATATACCACTCCATGGAATCGGGATGGTCCACCACAGTCCCAGGATGAGCATGAAGTTAGAATGGAGTTTCATACAGGGGGAATAGCTAAAGAAACTTGGAATTATGAAGATGAAAAGGCTACAGATGTACAGAATCTGGATAAGTGATGAAGATCTGAAAAAATATCAGCTATGGAAGGTTAGCAGCCACCCTAAAGTCAGAGAAAATGATCATTTGTGGGAGAAATCATGGAGCCATATGAGAAGCTTTTAAGTCATTTCTAGAGTTGATGGTAACTTGGGAAAATTCATTTTTTCCCTACCAAACTATTCCTAAGAAACTTACCAATAGCAGCTTTGACTTCAATAGCTTCTGAATCCTGGGAATATTCACTAAGTCCAGCTGCATTAACTGCTCTGACCCGGAAAATATAACTCTGACCAGTCACCAGTCCATGACAAGTAAATCTAAAAGGGAAAGAAAATTTCAGAAGACTTTCCTGGGAGGAACATTAAGGAAGATGACTGTTGGGTTAACTGAATGATCTGGCTTTATGAAAAGGATTAATTTTTCGAAAGAAAGAAAAAGTTATAGAGATATTCAGGTAAGATATACATTTTAGACAAGAAGGCAATCAAGCAATTTTTAAAACTCTGTCAAAAAAATGAGCTCTGTTTTTAGCCTGAATGCTTGTCACTGTAATGGGAATAGTAATACCTACACATTAATTTCCATGTAAAGCTTGCAGGGTCTGACATATGTTAGGTACTTAATAAATAATAGGTGCCATTAATATCATTAATTGCTATTTCAGGTATATACTTATAACTGAGAAGTGCTGGCAGCTCCTTGTCATAGAGACCTAATCAGTGTCCCTGAATGCCAGGAAAGGTATGAGTACTTGTGAAATTACACTGGAACCTGAAAACACAGTGAAAAATGATTTCCAGAATTACCATTTAGATATGAGGATGCAATAGTGACTGTCGATCCATGAGCAGTCTCACACATAGAACAATCTTACTCTTTAATAGCTATTATAGCTATAAATTGATGTTTGATGAATCACACTAAAGACTCGAACCCAAGGAAATAATAGGTCTGCTAAGGACTCTATTACTATTAGTTTGTTCAAATAGTTAATAAAGGAAGCCATAGCTTTCCATCTTTAATGTCAGCCTCATTCAATGAATATTTATTGAGCACGTTAGTGTTCAAAACATTGAGCTTGACATTGTGGATATGAAGATGAATAAACAACAGCCTGCCCTTTGGCAGTGCCTACCTGATTGTAGAAAGGCAAACTCTGCCTGTGCTCAAGATTGCTGCTAAATAGCTCCAGGAAAACGTTGGAGAAGCCAGAGTAAAAATGAAATGCACAGACATTTCATTGTAAGAAACAAATCTCTCCCTTTAATCTGGTCTCTATTCTCATTCTACAAAAGAACCAACTCAACCTGGCATCCTTTGGGAGTCCTTGACCTTGAAAGGGGCCCAAGCCAGAAGGTGCCTGCCTGACAATTTCTGGGGAAGCCACCTCTCAGACTGGTCCTAAATCAAAAGAGGCCCAGAATCTGCATGCAGAATTCACCATCTGTTTACAAAGAGAATGGTTCAAAGCAATTAAAAAAACAAAAAGAACTCCCCCCATTGAAAACAGATACAAAGAGGTGGTAAAGTATTCTGCATGTCCTTGCTCGGTGTTATTTATGTCTGCTTAGCATTGGGTCCAATCACGTCATGTTCAGAATTTGTAAAATGTTGATACTTTGTTCTCTGTTCATTTAAAATGCCAGGATATTCATGTTTAGTAGAGCTTATTACAGCCTTGCAATCTAGTATCACTTTGCATATTAAAGATTGGAATAGAAGGGTAAGAAAGGAAGAAATGGCAAAGAGGCAAAGAATCAGAAAAGAGCTATAAAATGAACTTCTAGAACAGTTGGCTATGTGGTCCTAAGTGTTTAACATCACAAGTCAGCCTTTCTTTCCGAAGCGTATTACATTAGACAGGTTCTGTTTTCAATTCATTTGGGTAAAGTAAACGTGTTTTTAAAAGATAACCTCCCTCCCTTGGATGCCAGTGCTGCTCGGACCCACAATGGTTCTAGGACCCACTCAGTTACCGTGAGCCCTTCACTGGGTTGTTGTTGCAGGGCTCCCACTTGCCAGAGCCAAGGACGCTTGACTCAATGTAGTACCCGACCAGCTCTGTGACATCTTTGGACTCCTCCCAAGAGACCACCACTGAAGTATCAGTATTTCTACTTGGGATGATTTTTCCAGGGGCCTTGGGGATATCTGAGTAAAGAAGACAATGGTGATAACATTCAGAGAGGTTAAAAAATTCTGTCTTATCGTACCTCCATAGAAACTGTATACAAATAACTATGTAAAACCTACAGTTGCTTTATTTTACAATGTATTTGTTATAAGTCAGAAAATTTAAACCATGTTATTTTGGAAGCATAATGATAAACTAAATTTCCATGAACTTCAGAAAAACATATTAGCTATTGAAAACTTCTGGGGAGGTTTACTTTTTATAAGTAAAAATAACAAATTTTTGTTTACTATGTAAGTTAACAACAGAGCCTTCAATTGAATTTACGAGAGAAGGGTATTACCATTTTCACTTCTGACCACATATAAAAGTATACTAATTTAATTCTTGCTTTGGAATTTTCTCTGGACGCAAAGTAAGCTCACAGTTGCTCAACCTGATCCTACTTACCAAGTTTGTCCCCTACCACGGTTACTTCCGTTGCCTCTGAGGGTTCACCAATTCCTGCTGAATTGGAACAGCGGACACGAAAGCGGTAGGATTTTCCCTCAGCCAGGTCAAACAGTGCAAAGCGAGGAGACTTCACAGGGAGCTCCGTGTTCACCCGCTGCCAGTTTTCTGTTCCCGCATCACACTGCAAGAAGAATAGGCACACCCACTGAAAGGCCCGCGAGCACAAAGGGAAACCAAGGCCAGGCATCTCGAAGTTTTATTTACCTGCCAACAAACTGCCACCTGCTTCTGGTGTTGGACTGGAGAAGAAATGTAGAGGAAGTAGGGGATTAGGCATCGTAAGTCCACAGGATCTCCTTCATCAAACATGGCTTTGTATTGTTTGATATAGGGCTTACTTTTTAATACTTGACTTCCTCAGATATGAATATAATCATCAATCTACATATAGAAGTCTTTATTTCAAGGATAATTTGGAATTTTCAGGACATTGCCATAAATATTATTTTAATTATTATTTAATTATTATCTACGACTCATGCCATCATTCAGTTCTGTGCTCAGATACCATCTCCTCTAAAAGGCCTTTTGATTGTCTCTTCCCCACCACCAATTTAGAGAGATTCTTGGCTCTTTTTTTCATCACTCTCTATCCTTTACCCTGCTTTGTTTTTTTCCAAAATATTTATCAGTATCTGAATTAAGTTATTTATTTGTTGTCTTCACTGCAAAGTACATTCCATGAGTTCAGGGAGCTGTCTTATTCCCTGCTGTACTCCAGAGCTTAGAACCATATCTGGCACAAAGTCATCAACTATTTTTTTTTCCTAAGTGAATGAATAAAGTTAATGAAATACAAAGATCATGTTCTTTTTTTTTCCTTGCCCCAATTTTAGAATAAATCATAAAATAATTTAAAGACATTCTATTCTTAAAGTTAAAATGATCTAGAGTGACTCGAAAATACTTGGATGAAGGATGTGATGGCTATTTGAGTTGTGATAGATTACATAGTAAGAAAGTTGTCAGCAGTTAGCTCAGTGATCCTTTCTCTCTCTCATTCCAGCTTCCAGTCTGCTCAAGCTCAGCAGAAGGAGATGTCTTCATATTCTTGCTTATTTTGCTACAGAAATTTTTAACATTTTTAAGAGACTTTTCCAGAAATCCAAATTTTGAGACAGATTGATAACTTGTCAAAGATGATACATTTGGAGGCGATAAGTTCACAAGTGCATCACTCAACATAATTTCCATTGACTTGATCTGGGAGGCATGACCGGTGGAAGGAACCCAAAGATACAGGGTCTGATCCCAGGTGTGTTGATAACTGAGCTGCATGATCTTGATCTCAGTTTCATCTCTGTAAAATGGGAAAACTTAACAAGTTGACCTCTTGAGTTTGTTTCAATGTCTTTTCTGATACTGTGTTATTTGTGTGGGGCATCTGTTGCCTACTAAGGGATAAAATTCTCCCAAACCTTTAATCTTTTACAGTTTTGACATATTTTCCCCACAGGGAATACATAAAGAATTACCAGTCACTTATACTTTCATAATAAAAATTATAGCTGCCTTTTGCTGTCCTAAGAGCTTTATAAGCCATTATAAACTATGCTGTCACAGTTCTCAAGAGAAGATTTAGACTGAAAAGCAGCACAGTGTAATGCAGGTTGAGTGTCTCCTATTTGAAATCCTTGAGACCAGAAGTGTTTCAGAGTTGGGAACTTTTTGGATATTGGAAAATTTGCATAGACTTTACCAGTTGAACATTCTCAAGCTGAAAATCAGAAATCTGAAGTCTTTAAGTCTTGTTGGCTCATGAATTTGGATTTTTGTATTAGTGGTGTCAGCCTATAGTTGGATTTATGGATTTAAGCCCTAGCATGCCTCATACCTGCTGTGTTACTTAAGCAAATTACATATCCCATCAAGGCCTCAGTTTCCTCATCCATAAAATAGGCGTGATGAAAATAAAAGTATGAACTTCACAGGGTTACTTTAAGAATGAAGTGGGTTGACATGTGTAGAATAGTGTCTGGCCTATGCTAAGTACTAGCTGCTTTCATTCCTGTGATGGACCCAGAGCTGGCATGTGATATAGTCCTTGTCTCTGATCTGACTAGATATTTGATAGGGGAATGAGTAAAAGAGCTCAAGACATAAGACACCTAAGGAAAAAGTCTGGGGCTGAAAAGAACAAGATAGGGTGGCTTGTAGTGCAGAAATTGGTTTACCTGATTCCCTTGCTAATAATTCCCTTAGTTTCAATCATTTTAGAGATCACAGATATGACATAGATGTTTGGCTCTATACCTGTAGACATGAATGGCAGGTTCATGTTTTATGTGCATGCAAATCACAGGTGGAAAGTTCCATGAAATGCAAGCACAGGGTAACCTAAGAGGCAGCACTGCTGGGCGCATGATCACTCTGGGGATGGAAACACTGTAGGACAAGAGCGAGAGAGCCATTTCCCCTTAGAAAGGTCAACACTTCAGAAGTAGTTCATCAGAAATAATTTTAGACTCAGCTCAGAGTGCTTTGACATTTGGACAGTTGTGTAAATGCACCCAGGTCTCTGGATGTGTTTTGTATCCCCAATGCCTCAGCATCCAGGGTGCTCTGTAAGAGTGAACAGTGCCCTGTGCAACCTTTCCAGTGAATGCTGTACTCATAAACATCCTCTTCTACTTCATCCAAATGGATGAGCTAGTGGGAGAATATTTAACATTTTAATCACAGATTCACATTACAGTCTTATACAGAAAATTGATGTGACCAGAGGAAATGTTCAACAGAAGCCAATGTTGAATCATCTGAAGAAAATGCCTCAGAACTGGGTTGTTACATGTCATTATTATAGGAAAGACAGTAATTACTGTCACAGAGATAATTCAGAACCTCTTCCTGTGGAGCAATTCAAAGTGGCCTGCGGTCCCGGGAGGGGTGGGTGTTAAACACACTAGGAAATGAACATTTATCTATCACTATTCTTGTCTTCTTTTTTTTTTTAACTCTTAAGACATTACTTGAGTTATATTTTAGTTGAGGCCAATATTTAGAAATTATAAAAATATAAATATTTAGTATTACTTTAGTACTACCAGACTCTTTTGGAAAATACAATGCACATGGAAGGGATGGATGCATTTACTGTTACCAATTTGCTAGGAATAAGAAAAGAAGGCACGCAGCTTAAAGACATGAGCTAAATATCTATAGTAAAGACAAGTAATTAATAAAGGGAAATCACAGACCTTAGCATTTATAGCTCTACTATAATTTTCTGAAGAGCTACCAATTTTAAATAAATAAAAGACAATAAAGATATGTTGTTACCTAATTTGTAGATGTTTGCATTTACCTAAATGCCTAAGAAATGTATTCTCTTACAATAATCATCAGAGAAAGTAACCTAATAGATGTTCTGAAAATGAATGACCAGACAAGTACTCAAAATAAAAGAAGAAAATTAATTGAGTTCCATATTTTTGTAGGAGGAGGTATGGCTCAAGCAGTAGAATGCCTGCTTTATAAGCACAAAGCCCTGAGTTCAAACTCCAGCCCCACCAAAAAAAAAACAAAAACAAAAAAAAAGCCAACTTTGCACATTTTTGTAGGAAAAGGGTCTTTCTATGATTTTGCCATCAGAATAAAATATAAATGATAAATTTTCATCCTGTCATATAATTTTATAAAACTAAAATTAAAAAGTACAAATACTGGTTTCATTCGCTGTTCAAAACAATAGTGCAACCCTATCAATAAAAATGTAAATGTCCTTACATATAAGATGAAAATTTACTATTATTCTTCCTATTATTAATTATAAGAATATATAAGAATATATTCTTATATTAAATATATATTAAATATATAATTATAAGAATATTATTAATAAGAATATGAGCCACATGAATGCTAGGCAAGTGTTTCTACTAATAAGAAACGAAATACTAAACAAAAAGAAATAACTAACTAATCTATTTACTATTATTCTTCCTATTATTAATTATAAGAATATATAAGAATATTATTCTTATATTAATATATTATATTAATATTAGTAATATAAGAATATTATTAATAAGAATATGAGCCACATGAATGCTAGGCAAGTGTTCTACTACTGAGCCCTTTAACTCTAATCAAAACTTTTTAAAGAAATGGACTTTAAACCTCTCTGTAAGCTAATTCTCCTTGAACATCCTTTTCCAGGAGTCATGGTCCTTTGCACCAAGGACTTCTTGAACCCCTTTGACCTGTGCCTTGCTTACAAGCTCTTCTTTGCTCTCTATATTAGAAGCTGGATCAGTTTTTCCCAATAATGTTTGGCCAAGTCTTGGGTCTTTTCTATTTGCTGGGCATAAATGTTTAGAGAACTCCCCCTGACTGGGTGTATGATTGATTCACACATTCATCCTCATCCATTCCACTCATTCTAGCCTTTATTGCATGCATCCTTTCTACTGTTCTGTTGCCCAACATAATTGTAAGAAATTTTGGGGAAAAAAACTAGCCAATCTTATGTCACTCTCCCACCAGTAGTGTGTGAGGGCTTGCTGTTTGAAAATATTGCAACTTCTCTATTCCTCTCACCTCATGATGTTCATTCTCTACTTCAGAAGGATAAGTAGTGTAGAGATGAAAACCCACAGACAAAGCAAACGAAACAGAGACTCTAAAAAGCAGCATCATAGAGGCAATCTACAATTTCAATTTCAGGAATATTTATCTCTGTTTTGTTTTTTTTTTTTTGTGTACTGGGGTTTGAACTCTGGCCATATGCTTGCTAGGCAGGTGCTCTACCACTTAAGCCACTCCACCAGTCTATTATTTCTTCTTTTATAGGGGTATTGATTTAAGGTCTGTGAACCTCATAGGACTCTGGGTGATCTCTCTGAACTTTGGGTAAATTTCTGTATGGTACATATTTCTCTCTCACTTTCTCTCTCTCTGGGCAGCCCTGGCATTTGAACCCAGTACTGCTTGCTAAGTAGGTACTCTACCACTTGAGCCACTCCCCCCAGCCCATTTTCCTTTAGCTCTTTCTGCTAGTCTCTTTTGCCTGGGGCAGGCCTTGGACTGCAATTCTGCTACTTCTGCCTCTTTCATAGCTGGTATTATGTGTGCTACCATGCCTGGCTTATTTACTGAGAACAGGTCTTGCTAACTTTTTATGCAGGCTGACCTTGAACCTCGATCCTCCTATTTCTACCTCTACCACACCTAGCCCATGATACACATTTTTCTATGGAGAAAATTTATAGTTTGTAAGAATTTAAAGAGTTTAGGATATACCACACCCCCCCCCATAACTCCACCGTGACTAGAAATTTAAGCTCTACTTTTTATAAGAAAGCTTTAGGAAGTGGCATGGGCAATGTTGATTCTAAAGTCTTACCTTTTCCACAAAGTACATGATGCCCTCATGGCCACGCTGGCCAGGGGGCTTCCAGCTTAGCACTACATAGCTCCGGGTGGCCTCAGTGACAGAGAGGTCTGTGGGGCCCAGGAATGATACCCTCTGAAAAACAATAAGGAAAAATGAGGCATGCACCTTCTAGGTAGCCCTGAATACTTCCTCCTGGAAGAGTTAATTATGGCTCCAAACATAAAGAAGTACTTTGTCTCTAAATTTCTCTTTAAGACATTTTTTTTTTATTCAGTTAGTCATTCAAGTGCCATTGAGAATTTAGCACAGAGCACTAAGGAACCTGGGACCTTTTTGTATTTGTTTTTGAATTGTTAGTTGAGTGCGTGAAAACAGAAGTGGAACAGCACAGGGCAGTGCTTGCTCATGTGCTGAAGGACAATGAAGAAGGCACACTGGACGAAGTCTAGTGTGTCCTGGGGTGGTGGGGTTGATCTTGTGTCGAGGTCTATCAGATATGGTGGTACAATGGTCCTGGGTGGCTCTACCTCATCATTTAGTCCTGTCTCGTCCTAGGAAGACATACAACATTTCCTAGATGAAGCAGGTACTTATCATTCCTTCACCTATACTGGCACTTCTGGTAGATTCCCCCGACTCTGGTGTGCCTTTCTGTTTTCAGTGGAGTTTGTATTTCTGTTCTTAACTCCATCCTTCAGATACTTACTTTATCTTGACCTTTGGCATCTCTGTATTTCTAGACCCTTTCTTCTTTTCTTCAACTGTAAACCTAACCTCCTTGGGACCACAGTAATACAATTTCAAATATTAATAGAAATATGAACTACTTACAGATAAATCTAATAAAAATGTGCAGGATAAAAATGCATACTGAAAGTACTCAACTGAGATAAATA